GTTTTCGTGAATTATTACCGCAAACGTCACACCTACCTATATATATATAATATATATGTAATATGTAATATGTAATATATGTTATAGGCACATATTATATACATATATATGCTCGTTACATGCAATATACCCATATAGTTGTAAACTACATACGCGTATATAATGATATAATATACAGGTCAACTATAATAATAATAATAATAATGTAATGACTAATGACAATGATGATGATGACGATGATAATGATGATAATAATAATAGGTAATAATAATTGGTACTTGGAAGTGAAAACTCATACGCCTGTGTGTCATGCCAACGACAACGACAACGACGAGGAGCCGCGAAATTCTATATACCCCTCTCTCAAACGCACTTTTACCAACCCATCATCTGAGCTCTCATAGACAAAAAAATGTCGATTATCTAAGGACTATATCATCGTTTACGCGGTGTGTGCTGCACAGCAATTGAAATGTTAAATGAATATTGTACGCCATCGTGTGGAGTTTATCATGCCTATTATAACCCGGGAGAGATTTCTTCTGCTGCTGTTGCACGTATGGCCCGTATGGGTCTTATATTGTGTAGGTATACGCGTCTTTAATAATATTATAATAATATATCCGTGAGGCCATGCCAGTGATTTATACTGCGCTGAAGCCTTTAGCGCGCGTACAATGGACCGCCGGACAATTAGCATAAATAATTATAGTATGTATGCGTTTAATATAGACCTGCGGCGGCTACTTTTTATCCGGTTTTATTAGTTTACCCCCCTCCCCCTCCCGAATGGCAGCCGCCCCAATGGTGAATACGTCCATCGTATCCGTAGCCCGCGCGCCTTCGCACAGGACATTATATTATGTTATTACTTATTATTATTATTATTATTATTATCGTGACTATTCTTAAAAATAAAACTCATTCGTCTAGCTAGATCGCAATATCTAGATATTATTTTTCACCGCCTTCCTATAAACAAGTATATTTTATAATAATATGATATACTACTAGCTGTAAAATCCAATTTCACATGTGAAAAATGAAAAAATATTAAATACGATTATAATTAAATATATTTCAATTTAATTGAACCTCAGTTTAAAGAAAATTCGGCGTCAGTATACTTCGCTTGGTGAAATAATTCGAAAAGAAACACAATTCACCTGTAGCAGATTAAATATAGTACTATATTTACGAACGTAGTTTAAACCGCTCTCTAAACTTTTCTGGTATCTCTAACAACAATCATCGAAACTTTCGTTAAAATCAGTCAAGTAGTTTTTGATTCTATTAGCTATGAACTTAAGGATATTGTTTTTTGTTGTACCTACACATATACAACAAACAATAAATTAAAAATAATTTTCTTTTACTTAAAAAGAATTCGACAACGGTTAACAGTTTGACTAATTTGTATTCTATACTAATTTATTTTTTCTTTAATTAATAGCAATCTTATATGTATACTTGTATATATATATAAACAAAAATATATTCAACTTTCTTGAGTGAAAAAGTGTGTTTTAAAAAAAAATGTGATATCCCCCCCCCCCCATAATAGTCTAAAGACATTAAAAACAAAGTTATAAACATTCTTTAAATCTCAAAAAATATGAGATATGCGTATAAAAATAAAATCAAAACCATAAAAAGTTATATTATAATAAATATTTAGTAATATAAAACATAATAAGTATGAATGTAATATTATTACCTCTTGACGAGATTGCTGTGTAAAGGTTTGAGGCCTCTAAGACTCTATATTTTTAATTTTAGGGTGAAGTATTGACTGGATTCAGGTGCAAAACACACTTCCAAATTAGCCACACAAATTCACGCTAATTTAATGCTAAATAATTAACTAAAAATAATCTTAAATTCTTTATATGCGATATAGCGGGGAACATACGTATTATTTCACTAACACGCACGCATTTTGTATTGTTTTTAAGCTAGATACGTCTATTTGTTATTGGACTTATCATTCCTGTTATTGCTCTATTAGTTTTCTAAAAAATAAAAATAATATTTTTTTATTTACCTATTAGAATTAGACTAACATACTGTTTCAGTAAACAGTCAACAATCTATGCGTGTTAATAATTATTATTATATTATTATGTTTTATTGTTAACTTAAACGGTGTTGTGATATAACACATTTATCAATCACCATGTACAATAATTATTTTAATAATAACATCATTTTTCTTACATTGTTCTCGGTATCAAGTGTTTTATAAATAAACTTAAGTAATATTCTTTTAACTGTAATTTTATTTGCCAATTAAATGTTTTGTAAATTATATTTATACATTAAAACGAGTTTTCTCCACATGAGACGACTTCGTATAATTTTATTTTATGCGTATTAACAGTAAAATCTTTATTTATGAACACGCTCTTATAATGGAAATTTATTTTTTAACTCTATGCTTTAAATAGTTATAGGTTGTGATATTTTATTATTATAAACTTATCGATATCATAAACATTATGTTTTTATCACTATATAAATCGTGTAGTAAATTATGAAATCATATTATAACGTATGGTATTAAATTGTGTACCATAGTCCATAGGTATCTGATTTTATTGTAGTATTATTTTGAGTTTATGTCGTACATAGATAGATCGATTTATTCAAAGTAACAATTAAATATTTGAAATATTATCGAATGCTGAATTTTACAGACTCGAAAAGAAATGAAAAAAAAAAATCTTTTTACAGACTTTATCTTTTCGTCCAAAATTAATATTACATATTTTACATTATTGCATAAAAAGTATTCATACAGATCCGTTGCAAATAATATGAAAGCTTTTTATTAAAAAAAAATAAAAAATACCTATAAAAATTCTGTATTTCATAATACTATACACAGCCGCGACGTACATAGATATATTATATATATAACATAATAATATGTATGTACGAACTGCAGTTATAAGTAACCTTTTTAATACTCTAATTTAACATCAAAAATACACGCTTTGTGTGTGCGTGTGTGTATGTGTAGGTATGTATAATATTCAATAAATATTACTGCTTCGTATACCGAGTAAATATTAATATATATAATATCAAAACGTAAAATCAGATATTGCTGGACAATGGTTCCCACAAAACTGTGTAACGAAAAGCGTATAATATTATCTTTGGGGCTAATATTCGAGACTCGAATGATGACAACAACGACTTTGATTATTATAATCATAATAATTATGATTATGATTATGACAATGGTGATGATGATGATGATGATGATGATGATGATGATGATTATAATAATATAATAAATTGGGATAACCGTTAGTGTCACCAACTCTGCTACGAAAATGACATACCTATTACATTATAATAATATAATCCTAATTCACAAATAAACGTTCCATATAATTTTTTTTTATTACATAATATACCTACCTAAATATTATAGCTACCACCATATTATATACATTTTATGTCTCGCCTCATAAACAAAATGATTGTCTATTCACTCTGTTGAACTATGATTAGAGAAAGATTTGATTATTTTTTTTTATTATATTTTACTTGCTTTAAAAAATTATAATACTTATATTGTCTTTGTTATCGAATATAATATTACATAGAAGTCGGAAAATTGTATTTTGTACCACTTGATATAATTTGAGGTTCAAATGTTTAAAAACTAACAATTAAAATATATATTATAATTCTGAATTATAGAAATGATAGCCAAAAGCTTTTATTTAAAAGTTTAACTTGATTCTCGAGAAATTATTTCTATATGTTAAAATTTGTTTTTATAGTATGCAGCAGGTACCTAGACGGACATATTATTATGTATGAAAGTATTAATAATTTTTAATATTATTGTTTCAATTGATTACCATATCAGATAATTGATAATATTATGGTGAAATGGGCAGTCGTTTTGGCATATCAATAAATTACTTGCTAATTAAATCTATGCAGATTATCGTGTATAGTTGATTTTGATAATATATTATATATATTTAAAGCTTTTATTACGATGAGCTGTTTTTGATTTACATATATATTTACAATAAATATGATAAAAGTTACAAGTTTACTTTCCTGAACTAGTATTTTTTGATTTAACGGCACAGTTATGAAAATACTATAAATACGTAACTATGAAATTAATTTACATATTAATCATATATTATATACCAAAAGTGATAAAATTGAATCGATTTTTTAATATTTTTAAGTACCAAAACAATAATAAAGCAGATTAAAATTAATAAAATCTCTCTAGGTTTTTTAGAGTACATTACCTAGATTCTAGGATTGATTTTCATCAAACTATAAAATTATTAAGTTATATTCGTGTTTTATAGGATTAAAACATTTATATACATGTATCGTTTATTCACATGTATTGTGCTTAAACTACATTTTTAAATAGATATAGTTATTAGGTACATACAATATACACGAAAGAGAGTCATTTCAAAAATAAATTTTTAAAATTGGATACTGATAACTGTTTTTAGATAAATTATATTCCACATGTATAAATTATTTCAATAGACAAGATAAAAAAAAAAAATGGTTTTTCTTTTTATTAATATTTGACTAAACTCTATAACATAATCTACAATCATTACGATAATATGATTACGTATATATTCAGTAAATTTTATAACGAATTTCCTTATCCATTTTACGTTTCACGAATATTTAGATATACATTATATGACTTAACCATTAAAAAATACGTCGTAAACTATAACTTGAGCATGAAGTACAAGAAAGGTTTGTACATAGATACCGAGAAAAATTGATTGCTTAGGAGTCGATAGCGCAATACACTGTAAAAAAAATATGTAATACTATTTAATCGAATTCGGTCTCATTTTATACTTGGAAAACATGATTTGTTCAACTATACTCAAATTAAAATTCAAAAAAAAAATGTCATACCAGACATAATATTTTTGGAATATTTATTTATTTATTTATTGGAATTTCACGTCGTTTTTTAGACAAGTGTGCCGGAACTGCAACTGTCCGCGTGACGATCACAGCATTGGCGGCAACCAGAACAACGACAGCCACCGACAACAGCCAAAGGTCACCGAAACGGCCTTGTGCGGAGGAAGTGGTGCCGCGGCGATAATGTCATCGTCGGCGGCGACCACGGTGACCGGCGTCAAGCGGGGAACGCCCCCGCCACCATTGCCGCCTTTGCCCACGGGCCCACCGGGTTACGACCAAGCGATCGGTGGTTACGAGAAGCTGCTGGCCGCCACAGTAGCCGTGAGCGCGTCGGCCACGTCCACGGCGTCAGTGGCCACAGCCGCCGGTCGCAAAGACCCGTCGGCGGTCGCTGCGTACCATCTCCACCACCACCATCCGCATCACTCCCATGCTGCGATGTCGGCCACGGCGGGTGGAGGCGATCTGCAACAGCGACACTCACACTCGGACGACGATTCCGGATGTGCGCTTGAGGAGTACACGTGGGTGCCCGCCGGACTCAGACCAGATCAAGTCAGTACCTCTATATTTAATGTTCATTATATCATTATAAAATAGTCAATTATTATCAATAATATCAAAGTATAAATCGAATATTCGGCACTTTTATACCCGTCAAGATGCCTACAAACAGAATACGTATAATATATTGCGCTTTACCTATAGTTATTACTTATTATACACATTCTTTCGGAATTTACGCGCGAAACCTGTTTTTTTTTTTTTTTTTTGTTATTTTTTATCTCATTCGTAAATCGGTTTTGATCCATATTACAGATAGATTCTTGATATTTTCGAATTCGACCAGAACGGGACACCGAAATTGAATAAGATATACGCGTATAATTTTAATGGACCATATTTTGTGAACTTGTCTTAAGATGTAATAATAGATAGGCACCAAAATAGCGACACGAAATTATTTTTGTTACATTTCGATCAATAACATTCGAACAGTAATTATTTGTCCACGCGTTTGTCTGACAAAAACTACTTGGTCACAAACTCACAATTATTATTGACATCCTCAAATGCTTCAACATTTTTTAATCGTTCATCCGACGTATACACATACTATTACTATAAAGTAAATTAATGTTCCGTTATCGTACCGAAATTGTTTTACCTATCGTTGGCGATCCAAGCAATGTATGAAAAAAAATAAAATATGTTTATAACACAAACGACAAAAATCCATTGAACAAAAAAATTTTAAATCCGTTGAAATTATTCATGGTGTGTAGTATTATATACCTGAACTATAGGAATTACACCGTGCACTATATACCTACGCGTACGACATCAAAATATATCATATTCCGCGCGTTTATTTCTACATGTCCAATGGCATCGTCGTTTAACAATACTTCAAACAAATTTTGATGCCGCCGCGACTGTCAACTGCACAACATTTCCGTCAGATGGAATAATAATACTACAATCCAACCCACGACGCGTGCGCGCGTGTTTATATATATATTATGGTCGTTGTGTTTAATGCGCCAGATTGCGTATAGTCCCTTTGATCTGTTCCGTCAGCCGAACTACATTTTCTAGTCTCTGTTTGCCAAAATAACCGTGAAAAACGTTTTGTTTCGTTGTTTTGATATACACGGTTAATTATCGTGTACGCGCCAACGCATCCGAATAAATGATGACAAAACGGATTTTGTGGCGGTGGGACGGTGTATACAGGGTGGTGATTCAACAAGAATGCTCATCCCCTTTTTTTCTTCAATAATGCAACTATTCAAAAGAATAGTTAAATATACTTAGGTAAAGACTACGTTTCAAAATTATTAAGTTTTTTTTTTTTTTTTGTACTAATTAAGGAGTATATTATGTAGACATAAAAATTTGTTTTTCAAATGAGAACCCTCTCCACTATTCATTTTACTGTAAATCATTTAACTGATAATTTTCTGAAAATGTTGATGTATCTAAATCCTAGTTTGAATATGTAGTTTTTGAGTTATTTAACTTTTTGTACTAAGTATAATTGGTTTATGTCTTTATGATCATAGATTTGGAATAAATGGTGATAGATAACTGAAAAAACTACTGTTAGTTTGAATTTTGAATTGGGTAAATCAAAATTTTCAAAAAATTTTCCCTGTAAACAAATTACAGTAAAAAAGAGAGATTTTTGTTTGAAAATCATAAGTTTGTATCACCATAAGATATGATTTATGCAGTTACAAAAAATATCAATATTTTGGAAATAATATTGTCTTTAAGTATATTTAAAAATTCCAAAAATAAGAATTGAAATAAATTCATTATTGAATTAAAAATGGGAGTGAACATTCTTTTGTATTTACCCTACATATTCATGTTTAGGTATGCATTTTACATACATAAATATATCCGGCTAAATAAATATGTCGTCGGAGTAACATTTTCGGCGCATTACAGTTTCAAAACAAAAACTTTTAACAACAATAATTACCCTCATAAACGTGTTTCAAACAGAATAATTGAAACTCAATGTTTTTATGAGTTAATAAACAACAAGTGTTTTAATTTAATTAATACGTATCTCTTAGTGGTATTCTTCCCTTACACCCCACAGGAATATAATTTTACATGTTACTTGTTAATCATATTATAAATACTGCAGAATAACGTTATAAGTTAGTACCTATTTAATACAAGTTCTAAGAAAAATTTGCATGGTCTAGATAAAATCGCATTGTTTAATATTAATGTGAAGGTATATTTAATAATAACTTGGCATACTCAAGGATTTCAATAATACAACTTTGATGCAAATTAATTTAAATTAATTTTGATAATAACAAAAGAAAGAATATAATTTTTATTTTGAATTATTTTGAATTAAATTTTAATTTTGTTAACAGTTAAACCACGCTGTTACTTTTAAAAATATATAATAAAATATTCCTGCTTTAAACGAAAAGTAGGAATATCTTGTGAAATTGTACTGTAAAAAATTTGAAAAAACTAGTAATAATATTGATGATACATTTGCATTAATTTTAAGTGAGCTTTTATGACGTTAAGTTATATAATATACATATTATTTATTAATTTATAATTGCATATTTTCTAAACAAATTTAAATGTTGTGGTATAATGTAAAATTAATACGCTTATGATTATCGGGTGATTATTTTATCGTAAATCTTTTAATGTCTTAAAAAATACAAGTAAATTACATTTTTTTTTTGAATTTTTAAACAAAATTAATTACCTAACAATCGTATAAAGATATAAAGTAGTGAATATTTTTAAATATTGAATGAAATAAATTTAAAAATACTATTTATTGCCTATAAGATTGAAGCCTGTTTCACGATAAGAAATCCCTCCGTATATTATACATTTTCATAAGCAAGGTTAAAATTCCATATCTAACTCATGTAAGTCATATGATCCCACCGAACGCATATATATATATATATATATTCCGTTTCTGTACAGTCGCCCAGCCAACAATATAATGATAATGGGTACTATCGAGTCGTGGCAGTTAATTGTCCATTTTATAATCGCTGTGGCCGGTATCTTAATAAAATCTAAAGTACTTGTCGAGAGGGTAGCGAAATACCGACAACGATACTTCGCCCTGCTTTTAAAGGAATTATATACAAGGAATACAAGACCGATTTACTTTTGTGGACGATGGCTTTTCTCCGGGGCGTTTCATCTGACAATGGCGGCAGCAGGGAAACCGCCGCGTTACGTGATTCATCATTAGGCACGACAAATAACGGTCGTACGGTCGTCGAGGTTTGTTATGTTTCCATACACACACACACACAAACGCCGTAGCCGCTTTATTATATGCCTCGTAGCCACAACGGATCTAAAGATCTTCGCGCTTTTCCGCGAGACCCACGGCGGCTACAAGAGAGGAAAGAAAAAACGTATTATGAACAAGCCAGCTCGTCCCGAAAAACGTATTTATCCATCTCTCTTTCTCAAACACACGCACACGCACACTCTCTTTTTTTTCTTTTTATTTCGGTCCGTTTGTTGCGAGACGCGGGCAGCTCTCTGGGGACACCGCGCTGCCGCAGATTTCTCGCAGTCTAACGGGCAAAGAGCATGTCGTTCCGAATTCATTTGCAGAGAAAGAGGATGGAAACATAATATATAAACTTTACCAGAAAAATATTCGTTTTTCACTCGCTTAATGAAGTCGTCACGAAAACAAAACTGTCCTATGTTGCATGCAGAATACTTTAATATTATACATTATCATATTATATGTGATTATTTATCGCTCATTCTAATACAGAGTGAAAACTCTTCATAACTATTTCGCTTTACAAAAATGATCTCTTTAATATCATGTTAACATATTGCACTGGTTGATTTGTTTTATAACCTTCATCTACATTAGATCATTCTCTATAACGAATTAGTTACTCTCAAAAATGAAACAATATTTTACATTTATTAGTAAAAAAAAAAAAATAATGCAATATATATGTTATCAATAATATTTAACTCATTATCACCGATGTAGTGCGCTAACATTCAATCAGCTTAGTGGCAAGTGAAAAAAAACATTTTGCGTAGATTAAAAAGTAGCTTTAATAAATATTGTAATCGAAAAAATTAAAAAAAGAAAGTGATGTCGGAAGACGTTTTAAATTCAGCCCATCTACTATAGCTTCTATTAAAAAAAAAAATATATGGCAGGCTGAAACAGAAAGAAGTTTTTGTAAAACAATAAGAATACCGACATTGAAGACTTGGAGCTAGCAAATTTCATTTATTTTTTGAAAACATTCTCTATTACGAAAACTCTATGATAAAAGAAGTCTCACGGTTCCTTAACGTTTGTTATAAAGAGTTTTTACTATATAATATTATTAACTACGTAGCAATATAGATACCTCAGTACGTAATTGAGCGTATAATATCATATCATATTATATTATATAACGACTTAGGATAAAACAAGCCGACAGACTGGATAAATCTCGATATGATTTCAAACTAAAATCATTAAGGTCGAGACTTTCCGGTTGTACTTTTGAGTGTTGTTGCAACGGAATAAACTAGCGATTATTGTAGTTAATCAACTCAAGTTAAATCATGTTATACTGTATATCTTATATTTATTATTAAGCAACATGGTTACTATTTTTAAAAAGTGCACCTGATGTAGTGGCGTTTAAATATTAAACACGTCAAGTCAATAACCACCCCGTCGACTGTCAAATATGTACATATCATTTAGTTACTTGGATATCCATTCCCATTCTGTTAAATTATATGATATATTATATATACATGTATTTATTATAAATATATATATATATATATATATTTGTGACCCCGTTATAACACAAAACGATTGATATATTATTTTTCTGTTCTTTGTTTTTTTTATTTTTTTATATCTCCGACCACCCGGTCTAAATCGACGTAGTGTTATGTGTAGCCAAAGGGAAAACGCGTTGTTAACCGACCAATTAGTGGTTGGCTCCGACCGGTGCGGCGGCGAGTACACACAACGCATTCCTCCGTCAGAGCGA